CATCCAGTGACTGCCACTCTCTCTGTTCGTGTGGCGGCCCCAGCTGCCCCCTGCCACCTCTGCCCTGCTGAGGTAGTTCTCTGATCAACCACCTGAGTGGGGCATGCTGCCATTTTCAGTTTGGAAGGAAAAAGCCTGTAAATCTGCTTCCTGGGAAGAGAGACATTGCTGAATTGCCATTTGTCTCCAGAATGCAGGAAACATCAATTTCATTGCAGCTCATCAGGGTTGGAAACACCTGCCACTTCCTTTCTCAGTTGCAATTAACATGCTGCATCTTGGCATTGATTGATTCCAAGCAGCCTAACACTGCCAAAGTCAAGGTTTAAATGAAACGGTACAACCTGATATTATTTTTCACAGTTTTAGAAACATGAACTTGATTTCTATTGCCAAAGAAACACTGTGATAGTGGGGGATATGTCTTTTATTCTCGAGATAAACATGAGAAGAATAGATTGATGCTTATAATGAAAATAGTTTTTAATATTTGTATTTGGGGATAGTACTTATTTCTTGATCTCTGTATGTATTTGGAGGTGGAGTGGAAGACAATATTTCTTTTGTATCTCAACATCTAGCACAGGGCTGCAGGAACCCATGGGCATTTAGAGAATGCTAAATACATTATCAATAAAGGGCCAGGTGTAGTGGCTCATGTCTGTAATCCTAGCACTTTGGGAGGCCAAGGTAGGAGGATTGCTTGAACCCAGGAGTACAAGATCAGCCTAGGCAACATAACAAGATCTCATCTCCACCAAAAAACCCCCAAAAAATTAGCTGGGCATGGAGGCTGAGGTGGGAGGATCTTTTGAGCCCAGGAGTTGGAGGCTCTGATGAGCTGTGATAGCTCCATTGCACTCCAACCTGGGCCACAGAGTAAGACCCCAACTCAAAAAAAATGAAAATAAAAAAATTATAAATAAAGGAATGGTTTGAGAGAACAAGCTTAAGAACTGTCCTCTTGGTCCAACTTAGGTAAAATTCTGATTTGGCTTAACTTAAAAACTGTGTGAAACTGACCAAGAAATATGACCTGAGGCTGGAGTTCTCTGTCCTATCCTATAAAAACTGTGTGAAACTGACCAAGAAATATGACCTGAGGCTGGGGTTCTCTGAACCCCTGAGGCTGGGGTTCTCTGTTCTCTGGGGTTCTCTGTCCTAAATGGTTTGGCCTTGATCACATTCACTAATGCTCTTTTATGGGGCAGGGAAGACTCTGTTTTCATCATAATCTTATTCATACTGCATACAAATAAAATGTCTTCAAACTGTACATTTTATGTTTTAAGGGTGCTAGAACATTCTCTATTGTGAATAAGGAATAGAAACATTTTAGTTAGTTCAACAGCCACAATATTTGTGTTCTGTGGAAATGTCGCTGACATGGTTTCTACATACTGGTAAAACAGAAAGCCAGTGTACGTAGAAAACTAAGTATGAGGTTTATGTTTTAACCTGGCCAGCTAAAACTGAGCTGTAAACCACAGATTGTAGTCTGTGGAAGAAAGTGAGCAAATTGCTTTTCTCATTAACAGATACTAAGGACCAAGAATCATTTTCTATTTGGGTCCTCTAGGAAGAATCTTTCTTTTAGATGGAAATATAACAAATTAAAATAAATGGTAATTAATTATTTTGCACAATAACAATCTAAACACTACACACTTGAGTATCATCTATTAAATGGATGCACACATCATATATGAGGGAGTATCCAAAAAAACCCGGAATTATTGTTTGGAGAGCAAGCCCCTTATAGTTTAGGCTTCCTCTGCTAGGTAAGTGTTTTAGGAACCCATTGGCATCAGTGTACCAACTAGCATTTTGAGAGGTTGCGTTCAGCTTCAGCAAATTCTTTTTTGGAGATTCTTTCAACGCGCTTGCCCATTTCATGACGGGTGATTTATGAGCACACCTGCCCATGCCACGCTGAGTGTTCAGCAGTTTTTGACCAAAAACAGCATGACCTGTGCCTCACTCGATCCTGCCCTGAGCAACTTTCTTTTTGTTTCCCTGGGTGAAAAACAGTCCTCAAAGGGAAGCATGTTGCCAATGTGGAAAAGGTGAAAGAAAAAAACAGCAGCAGCTCTAAAAGGCATGAAAATTGATGAGCTCAAAAACTTGAAAACAACAACAACTAAACTATTTCGAGCAGTGGAAAAGATGTCTTGATAGGTGTAGTGCAGAAAGTACTTTGAAGGTGACTGTAGTTTAAACATGTAAGAACAAACAAACATTTTTAATAAATAAATTCTGGGTTTTTTGGGGGGGGTCCCCTCTCATATAACCAACTTGAATATCTCTGCATATTCTAGAATGAAAACTGAAGTTATGTCTTTTTCTTATAATGAGTTAACATTCCTGTGAGTCTATAATCTTACCCTAAATGCCTGATGGCTGAAAATATAATGCTGACTCTCTCCTTACAACTGTAATACTATACTGCTCACTGTTCCAAACATCTGGGTTACTTTTATATTAAATAGCTTATATACCAATTTCTTGGTGCTGACAGGTCTTCCTTAAATTATAACACAGGAAAACCTGAATTATGAGGAAATCATATTATACATTTTCACCAAATATACAAATAAATAAAAATATATAAATGACCAGAAAAAGTACTGCTTTCCTAGGTGGGAAATAGGTAGGAAAGTAGGTAGAAAGGTAGGAAGGTAGGAGTGTAGGAAGGAAGGTAGGGAGGTAGGTAGAATGGTAAGCAGATAGGAAGGAAGGAAGGTAGGTAGGTAGATAGGAAGTTAGGTCAATAGGAAGGTAGGTAGGTAGGAAAGCAGATAGGTAGGAAGGTAGGAAGGCAGGTAGGTAAATAGGTAGGCAGGTAGCTATATAGGCAGGAAGGTAGGTAGGTAGAAAGGAAGGTAGGTAGGAAGGAAGGTAGGTAGGTAGGCAGGTAGGAGGGTAGGTAGGAAGGTAGGTAGACAGGTAAGTAGGCAGGTAGAAAGGTAGATAGGCAGGCATGTAGGTAGGAAGGTAGATAGGTAGGAAGATACATAGGTAGGTAGGTAAGAAGGAAGGTGGGAAGATAGGTAGGAAGGTAGGTAGGTATGTAGGTAGGTAGGTAGAAAAGTAGGAAGATACATAGATAGGTAGGAAGGTAGTAGGTAGGTAGAGAGATGCCACCCCTAATTCCCTAATAATAGAATTTGGGCACCAGAAGACCTATTTCTTACAAAAAAAGGAAAGAAGAAAGGAAAAGAATAAAAAAACAAAACTACAACCTTTGGAACATGCTATAATATGAAAAGGTTGCATTTAAATACCACCCAAAATGTTGGCTGACTCAGAGGAAATCCAGTTATACATCTAATCTCTGACTTGTCAGCTGGCCAGATTGGTGTGCCCAGAGAGCATCTCTAACATAAGTGATTCACAGGTCAACTTATATTAAGAAAATTTTGGTCTCCAGTCAGAGCCAACCATTGCAAAGCACCTTTTGTCTAATGATACATTTAAACACTTTCAGAAATGAGAGCAGTCAAGTATACAACAAAGACGTCTTGCGTCTCTCTCTTATCAATAACAGACTAAATCTTCAGAGTCCCATTGAGGGAAAACAATCAAATTTTTATGACAGCATATTACCATTTTAAATATGTTCTTCTTTGGCCCTGGCATAAACCATCAAACCATTCCAGGAATCCCCACATAAGAGTGCACAAACTCCATCTCCCAGCTTTCTTTTCATATTGAAATGTCATTTAAAAACATATCCATGACCCAATTTGGGATTTGTTAAATAGGGTCACCACACTCAGCTCTCCTTAAAGTCAGAAGTGGCTCTGTCCTTGTCCCATAGAGTTCCTGGAAAATCCTTGGAGAGAGTCAGAGATGCTTCTCCGTTTGGGTCTAAGACGGCCACCATCCAGAAGCATTCCTTGTCTCACACCATTAGTATGTTCAGTTTCAGAAGTAGCACCAACCTCACCAACACTTTACCAGTAAATGAAAGTTTCCCTTTTGCCGTTACCAATACTTATTTTAAAAGCACTTCAAATTCATTCTTTGTCTTTTCTTTTCTCTTTTGAGTCAAAGTCTTACTCTGTCGCCCATGCTGGAGTGCAGTGGCACAATCATGGCCCATGGCAGTCTTGAACGCCTGGGCTCAGGCAATCCTTCTGCCTCAAACTCCCAAGTAGCTGAGACTACAGGCATATGCCACCATGTTTGGCTCATTTTTTAAATTTTTTGTAGAGACGAAGTCTTGCTATGTTGCCCAGGCTTGTCTCAAACTCTGGGGCTCAATCAGTCCTCTCGCCTCAGCCTCCCAAAGTGCTGGGATTACAGGCATAAGCCGCCATACCTGGCCAAAATCATTCATTTTCTAAAAATGCTTTTCATTTTGTTCTAAGGGCCATTAAAAAAAAAATACCTTTGGGGACAAAAAGCTTTTCCAAGTCAATAGTATTTGGTGAAAACTGATGATCCCACTGGTATGAAGTTAGTTTGTTTCTTTTTCTTTTTAGATAAAATTAAGGCTCAAATGTTCTAGTAAACTCTCATTGCTTATGTATATTATATTAAGGCTTATAAATACACCTGATAAATTAAATTCACCCCGGATTGAATTAACACCTGCTATATGAGTTATTTGCTTTATGTAATCAGTAATCTCAAGGTTTCTCTTCTTTCTCTGGAAACAAAATTTCAATATAAGCCTAATCTTTAAACGGCTGTTGCTTCTTTCTGACATTTGGAAAGCGGTCATCCATGCAAAAAAAAGCAAATATGGATATATTAATGAAAAGGCAGCTTCTTAAAAATCTTAAAGTGTGTAACTCAATGAATTGGGAAGAATAATGATAAAAGCAACAGGAAAGTCAAAACTTTGTGCCACTTTCTAGGAAAAACAATGCTGGTCATCTGCCAACTACACCTCCAGTCTGAGAGCCTGGCTGAAGTTGATGGCCAATATCCAAAGAGTGTCTGTGTTTTCTTCATTATAATCTCTGGAAGAATCTCAGGAAGCCGTAGCACAGGCGAGAGAATTTTAATTTTTAAAAATGCAGGAGGGTATAATTTAAATTCCAGGGATGAGCAATCGCATAAGAGGACCTGTGAGGATGTGTGGTGTGCTTGGCCTGATCCAGTCCCGGGCTTGCTGCGAGGGACAGGAACCGCAGGCCTCGCCTGGTCATGTCCTGCTCAGCTGACAGCCCCTGGAGAATATGAAGCTTTCAAAGTGCTGGTCTTCAGCCTTTTCTTTTACACGTTGTTCCTCTAAGGAATCCACGAGTCTGTCCCTTTGCTCAATCACTTGCATCATCTCAGTGAGTATTTCTTGCTCTTCGTTGAGATCATTCTCATCTTTCTGGCTCTCTAAAGAAAAAAAAAAGAAAAACATTGGGCCTCAGGTAAGATGCCCCCCCCTCCCTAGAGTTCTTGGCAGGGACATTCTTGATTGTTGGGAACTTGTTCTGCCCTTTAATTTCAATGGAGAGGACAAGGAAATGAATTTAACACCGAGGAACTGCCCTGAAAAACCACAGATTGGAAAGGTGAGTGCTGTGTGAAGCAATCAGGTTGGTTTTCATCTTGAAAATATATATACAAAATGACAGGGAAATCCCTTTGTGAGAAAAAGAAGCTAATACTCTCCAAACCCTACCAAGTCCCTCACCCTTCCCTCCGCCCTAAAGAGAAACCAACAAAACAAGAGAAAGGCTGTTTTCCATAATCATATCTGAGCCACAGCAAAGAAATCTGTGAGAAGTTTCTAAGTAAACCATCTGCATCAGTGGCTACTATTTCAATGACAAGAATCCTTTTTTCATTTGTAGTTAATGACAAATTGTAGCCTTTTGTGTAGAGACCACGAGGAAACAAAGGGAGGCCCCGACTGTCCAATAGGATGAGGTTTCCAGACTGACTGTGCTTTTCTCTTTTGTCTTTTCAAGTGCCTGACCTTCTTCCTAATTGCCCTGAGGCATCCAGTTGCCCGGTGGAGACAGGATTGTTATAAAGGGATGGGAGAGAGTGAAAAACAAGTAGCAAAGAGCTTCTGACACAGAAAATAGAAATCTGAAGCCAGATGTAAGTCTTGTCAACTAGATGACTGCCTTGGGAGAACGCTTTCTAAATTCTTTTAGCTCCTTTGTCTACACACCGAGGAGTAGGTGGTGAGCCCAATCACAGGGTTAGTGAGGGGCCACCATCTCTCATCAGGCTTAGTTTGAGGTCTTGGTTAGCCCCCTTTATGCTTCATGTTTTATAGGCAGGGGAAGAGGCAGGGGAAGATAAGAGCTCTGTGCTCAAGTATCACCATTCTGGAAGCTCCAAAGGGGTCAGGACATGACTCATATCATTTGATAGGAACACTGGAGGCCAAAGGATTCTTGCCCTGCTCCTTTTCCAGAATTCTGGGAAGAAGCCAGCTCAAAGGGCACCCCTATGTATAAACAAGGGGCAGTACTTCATTTTGGGCAGAGAAGACGGGTCTCAGTGTGGCTCCCCAGATCTCAATGTGTTGAGTGTATCATGGGTGGAGCCCAGAAGTGCCCACTTGCCCCAAAGTTGCCAAAGGCAGCTGTCTGGTGGGCTACCGTGAGGCTACCCATGTAGCCTCATGAGGTGTAGTGATCCCACCATAGAGACTATGGTAGGTTGTCTGGCCATGCTGAGTGGAAGGTGTGCCGAGATGGGGCCAAGTGAGCCAGGGAGTGCCAGCAGGTTCCACAGCATGCCGAGAGAATGGCTAGGTGATGGGGTACGTCAGCCTCACACCTCCTCTGCAAACACCGGCAGAGGGTTGCAGCCCAAGGATGGGAGACAGCTGTGTGAGGACTCTGTGAGTCAGAGCATCCCACCTGGATGCCTAATACCAGTAGGTCACACAAACCTGCCTCTCCCTAGGGAGAAACACAGAAGGATGGGGTGGCCATCTTTAAGACTGAACATTTTCATCTTAAAGAGGCACAGCATTTCCTACAAGAACTGCTTAATTATTACATCAGACTAAGTTTACCACAAGGGGGATAAAGGGTACTTATTTCTTTTCCTTGCTAAGTAGTAGGAGGAGCTTATGTGGAAGGTGAGCTCAGATACGAATGAAGAAGCTGCATTTTGGGGTACATCTGAGAGGAGTGAGAAAATGTATGACCATCACTTCTTGATAAGAACTTAAAATAAAAAAGAATCAAAGCTAACTAAAAGAGTCTTTGGTGTTTATTTACTTTATTATCCTGAAAGAAAGCAAATTAAAAATTTTTAATCAGATGTATAAATTGGATATTAATCATACCCTATGGTTTGTCCATTTAGGTATGTTTTAGTATATGTATTCCTTATTTAATAAACACCACAGAAAAAATTAAAAATTTGTTTCTTAGTTTAGGGTTATCATAAATGGACCTATCTGAGCCCCTTCTGACATACGGAAGGTGATGTACACCTTTTTTATCTGTTCTATACATTATAGCTCCATGAGAATTCTGTTAGAAATAGTATTCTCTTTGCAAACCAAGCGCAGTGGCTCATGCCTGTAATCTCAGCACTTTGGAAGGCCAACGTGAGAGGATTGCCTGAGCCCATGGGTTCGAAGCTAGCCTGGGCAACTTGGTGAGACCTTGCCTCTACAATAAATAAAAAAATTAGCCAGGCATGGTGGTGCATGCCTGTGGTTCCAGCTACTTGGAAAACTGAGGCAGAAGGATTGACTGAGCCCAGCAGGTTGAGGCTGCAGTGACCTTGATTGTGCCACGGAACTCCAGTCTGGGAGACAGTAAGACTCTGACTTAAAAAAAGAAAAAGAAAAAAGAAATAGTATCCTGTTGTATAAAGAAACAATCTGCAAATCATCGCCACTTGGGGAAGAACAGGAACACCTGAGTCTCTGGTCTGTTCCTAAATCTTAGCCCTACCATTTACCTTGAACGTGTTATTTAATTCTCTGAAACTGTTTTCTAATTTGTAAAATGGTCGGGTCAAAATAGCTAAACAAAAGTGATGATGATGTCTACATATTTACTAAATGCTTGTCCCATCCCAGGTAATCTCATAAGGTAGGTGCAATTCTAGTTCCATGGCTATCAAGATGAGACTTAAGTTGTTTTTCTAGACCCAGGCCAAAATGTAGGAAAGCTGTGCATGGATCTAGCCTCACAAACACGCAGGCACAAAACAGAATATGCCTTTCTGGCTGGAGCCAACGAATGCATAAATCAGTACATTGTGTCAACTGAGTTTATTTCAACTCTCCCTTCTTCATGGTGGGATACATTTCTCATACATGATGCCCTGGACTAACCCAGGCTGAGAGGGACTATTCCCTCTAACACCTCTAGTGCCCGGTAGAACTAGGCCACCCTCCCTTGTCCTCCCAAAGCTCCTCTGTCATGGCCTCCCCCACTCACTGTGCTAGCATGACTGGTCTGGGTGTTGGTCTCCCCGGTGGGACCGCAAAGTCCTAGAAGGCAGGAGTTGCCTTTGCCATATCGTAGGCCCACACTAGGTACTCAGTAAATGTGTGTTAAATGAATGGATGGATAAGTTAATGAATTGGTAAATAAGTGACTTTTTTCTTCTTGTCACATGGGATGGAGGACAAGGCTGCCCTCACAGTCCAGGTGACTGGAGCTAAATGGGGTTTGCTGTGCTGAAGGTGGGCAGAAGGAAGGGAGGCTCTGATTCACAGGCAGGCCATGCAAGGCAGGATGAATGCTTCCCTGTGCAAATGCTCTCTCAAGTGTCTTTCTGGGGAAGATGACTTAACAAGAGCCCAAGACATATCAGCATACTCACCGTCCTTGAGCATTTTCTCTCTGAGTTTCTGCTCCAGCCTGCTTTGATGATCTTCTAATTCAAGTTCTTGGGCCCTGCATATAAGAAAACATTCAAACTTTATACATGCTAGAGATGTGTGAGGAAACATAGATAGATAAGCCCACTGAGGGTAGTTACTAAATTCTTTTTTCCTTATTAAAACTGGAGTCTTAGTCGGGCATGGTGGCTCATGCCTGTAATTCCAACACTTTGAGAGGTGGAGGCGAGAGGATTATCTGAGCTTGGGGGCTCAAGACCAGCCTGAGCAACATAGTGAGACCTCATTTCTACAATAAATCAAAAAATCAGCCAGGCATGGTGGCACATGCCTATGGTTCCAGCTACTTGGAAGGCTGAGGTGGAAGGATCACCCGAGCCCAGCAGGTCGAGGCTGCGGGGGCCGTGTGTGTGCCACTGCACTCCAGTCTGGGCAACAGAGCGAGACTCCAACTCAGAAACAAACAAACAAACAAAAACTAGTGTCTTGGACTATCTCTGAACAGAAAGTTTGGCTACTGTTGGGATCACTGAAGGTGCCCAGGAAGATTGCTAAGATATACTGAACTCAAGAGACCACAGGATAATGCTGAAGCTGTGATGTGATTGCAGTAGGCTTTGGAAAGCCACCTAGACAACCCTTTAGGGGTGGGCTAGAGGTGGGAGAATAGTGGAAAATGACGAGAATAATCCAAAGGAAAAGAAATGACAGTCTGAAGTATTCCTCTCTTTTAGGGGTAAGATGACTTCAAATATCTCTAAGATATTTGAGATATTCTCTCAAGACTGTGGTAAATGAGAAAATAAAGAGGAAACAAAAGTGAGGCATTTGGTCCAGGTGGAAGCATTAAAATTCAGCAACTCTCCATCTGGTTGTAGGAGATATGAAAAGAGAACCAGTGATGCATTGGAGTAGTTAGGCTTGCGTGCTGGGGACTCAGTGCCTCCACCAAGAGGAAGGGCAAGGTCAAGAAGTGAAATTAGTCCTTGGTGAAAGTTGGAACTTAAATTTTCAATGCCTGGAGCTATCCCATTTTTTATCACAGTGGGTGTGTGAGCTCCCATGGGCAAGCCCATGTGGGTGATGAGGCTCCCAAATGCTGCTCTGGAGTTCTCAAGAGAAAGGGGAACCCCAAACAGACCTGACAGTGGTCAGAGGTGATAGTTGAGGTCACATGATCCCTAAAAGAAAGACTATAGAGAAAGAAAAGGGTTGAAGAGGTGGTTAAACAAAAGAGATGGAGCTAGGGAAGAAGCCATCAAGGGGTTGGAAGGACAACAAGAAATGCACCATCACAGAAGCCAAGAGCAGAAAGTTCTCAGAGAAAAGAAAGAGGTCAAAGATATTCACTGCTACAAAGATATTGAAGAGAGTGACGGCTCAGAATAGGTCCCTGGGTTTGACCCCGTGGGGCCTCCCCTTTCAGCCCCCAGCAGGAATCTGCATGTGTATCTGCTATAAGTGTTGGGGTCACTTTGCTCTACACTGTTGTTGGCATTATTTTGACTACTTCTACGACTACTTGGGCCAACGGCCCTGCCTCTTTCAATATTCTACCTTTTGTTCTCAACCTGAACTTCTTTTGGCCCACTGTGGCAGCCAATGGAGGTGGACTGCTCAGAACTTCCTTTAAGAGAGAACTTTCTGGAAGGAGCATGGTGAGTGGACTGTGGCTGCTGCAGAATCCACCTCCATGTCATGTTGAGGTCAAGCTTTCCCCAGGCAGCTCCCAGCCAGTGACTGGGCACAGAGGAGGCTCTGCACTGCACCATTCCCATCCAGCATGGCGCCCCCATGACTGGTGATCTTTGCACTGAGGCTCCCACTGGCCTGGCTGAGCCTTTCTCAGAGCTGCGCCACATCTGGGGCTCCTCCTGTCCAACTCTCTTCCTTCGCCTTCTCCCCTCTAACAGGTGTCAGAATTGCAGTGGGGTCTGAAGCCTTTCCTCTTTTTCCTGTTCCCATTCCCTTTATCCTTCACAGGCATTTCCCCCAGTAGATCTCTTGCATCTCTCATTGTCTTGGCGTCTGGTTTCCAAAGGACTCAAACCAACATATCGATTTAAGACATCTCTCCTTGCTCATCCAGGTCTTTCTCCAAACTAAAACTTATTCTTTAACAGAGCTCCCACGTGCCTTTGTCTAGTTTACAGGCCCAAGTTCTCCTACTTGCCCTCTTTTGGAGGGGAAAGTCCCTCTGACAGTGCCCTGACTAGAGAAGCTACAGTCATGGCATGGAAGCAGAGGCCATGCCTCCTTAACTCCCATGGGTAGACCCTCCTACCTCCATGGAGCCCTTGCTATGTTTTCTTCTTGCTATTACGCTATGTGTTTGCATATCTGTCTCCCCCAAAACCACAGGATTCTAGAAGACAGGACTGTGGCCTTAGTCATCTGTATTCCCACAGAATCTGGGATAGTTCCTGGCACATAGGATGTGCCTGATACATTTTTGTTGAATAATTCAGACCTGGCCCTAATGTAGACAGCGCGGTTGCATAAAAGGGGTTTTGTAGTCAAGGCAAGTATAGACAAATCACTTGGTTGCCCTGAGTCTTGGTATTATGCATTAACTTTAAAAATGGTGTGAGAGCAAATACTCATTAGAGATGATCCTTTTCCCCCATTCCTGATATTTTCTTCTTTGTCAATGGAGGGACATTTGGAAAAAATAGACGAGGCAGCTCAGCCTGCATTCAGCAAACGTGTGTCTCAATCACCCTGAGCTTTGCTATAGGTCTAGGGCAAGGTTTCTTATCCTTGACACTTCTGATATTTTAGGCCAGATCATTCTTTTTTGGGGGGTGGAAGTCTTGCATACTGTAGAATGTTGAGTAGCATCCTTGTCCTCTACCCAGTAAATATGTAGCAGCTTCCAGGTGTGGCAACACAAATGTCTCTAGACATTGCCAAATACCTGAGGGTATTACTCCTGGTTGAGACAAGTGAATCCACTACCTTCTGTAATTAGATAGAGATGTCTAATTCTGGGTTTTGGTTAACGCAGTAGGTTGAATGGTGATCCCACCCCCAATAAAAAGATGTGTTCACATCCTAACTCTTGGAAACTGTGAATGTGACTTTATTTGAAAAGGGTCTAATAGAGGTAATTAAGTTAAGGTCCCTGAGATGAGACCATTCTGGACTATCTCAGTGGGTCTTAAAGCCAATGACAAGCTCCCCTGTAAGAGACAGAAGAGAAGAAGACACAGACACAGAGAAGGCCGTGTTGAAAGCAGAGGCAGCGACTGGAGTGATCGCAGCCACAGACTGAGGGATGTCTGGAGCCACATGAAGCGGAAGAGGAAAGGAAGATTTTCCCCTAGAACCTCGGGAGTGAACACGGTTCTCCCAACACCTTGACTTTGAACTTCGGGCTTCCATAAGGTGAGAGAATGAACTTCTGTGTTGTAAGTTATCCAGTTTGTGGTAAATGTGGTTACTGCAGCACTAGGAAACTAATATAGTTAAGCAAACCCAGTTGGGCTCCCAACTTAGCCAAGTACAAGCCATTATCAGTAATAAGGGTGATATTTTAATGTTGCAACTATTGACTTGGTTGTCTTATTTCTCACCTGGTTCAGAACCCAGTCAGGCAGGGTAGTAGTATTTATTAGAACCCTTCAAAAACCCTTAAAATTACCTCTCAGGGTTGATGAAATGAAATGAGGTGAAATGAAATGAAATGAAATAGTTTAAATGAAAGCCCCCAGCACAATGTATGGCGCTTAGTTGGTTGTTACTTTCTTTCCCTCGAGTATGGTGATAGGCAGTTGATAACCTTCAACTTTTTAAGAGTGTGATGAGATCCATCTCTGCTTCTGATCTCCCAACCAGGCTGCAACCCCTCATTTAGAGAGGACAGCTGGACAGATCTCAGTCCTTCATTCCATTAAAGCCACAGGAAGTGGCTGGGCAGATCTAGCCAAGCCCTTCTCATGACTCACACCCAGAGGCCAGACACAACCTTCTCCACTGCAGGTGTGTGACTTCTCTTTTCAGATGGGCCTGGCGGACAGGCATGGATTGAAAATATCTTATCCAAATACCCTCCAGCTCTAGATCCATCACCTGAAATCTATTTTAGCCATAGGACTCTGCAGAGAGAACAGACCACTAAAGAGTCTTTGCACTAATGCCAGCATGATATGCAAGACATAAAATGTCAATTTGACTCAATCACTGTTCTGTATGCGCGAGGAGGAAAAACCCTGAGACTCCCACCTAGGAGGATAAGCCACCCTCCTTCGCCCCTTTGCTTTTAGGACTCGCTGTTATCCGTGTTGCCTTACTTACATGATTAGAAGCTCCGACTCATATCGCACTAATTTATTCTTCTCCAGAACCAACTTAAACCATTCCTGCAAAAGCTGTGCTTCATCCTGTGTGCCTGAATCTGCTTAAGAAATCAACAGCAAATGGGTTAGATTGGCGTTTCTCTCCCCATGATCAAGCTGCTTTGGATTCACTTTAGCGGGCCATGTTTGTAGCAAAAGGGCTCTGCAGGCAGCGGCTAGCTAACATCCTGTTGGTGCCTTCAGGTCATGGGCATGACAAATAAAACCCATCTGTGCATGCCGTGGGGGGAGGTCTTCTTGGACATTTAGGGCATGACGACTTCAGCTCCAAAGGTCAAACACCCACAATAACGTCCCACCACACAGGACCCCACTCCCGCCAACTTGTATGCCCTCCATAAAACTTATATGTTTATGCATCACATCTTTCTTTTTTTTTTTTGAGTCAGTCTCACTTTGTTGCCCAGGCTGGAGTGCAGTGGAACACTCATAGCCACCACAGCAGCAACCTGCTGGGTTCAGACGATCTTTCCACTTTAACCTTCCAAGCGACTGGAACTACAGGTGTGAGCCACCATGCTCTGCTAATTTTCACCACATCCTTCACCAAAGAAAACCCTGGCTGCTGGTTATTATTTCCTTCTCTGGTTTCTTCCACAAATCAAATGCCTACTAGTGCCCAAATGATGTGTGGCTCAGGGAAACTCACACCACATTTGATCATAAAGGAGTGGTGACTGGCATTTTAATTTTTTTTTTGAGTTGGAGCATGCCCAGGCTGGAGTGCAGTGGTACACTCATGGCCACCACAGCCTCAACCTGCTGGGCTCAGGTGGTCCTTCTGCCTCAGCCTTAAGTCGCTGGAACTTCAGGCATGCACCACCACGCCTGGTTAATTTTCTGATTTTTATTGTAGAGATGAGGTTGCACCAAGTTGCCCAGGTTGATCTTGAACCCGTGGGCTCAGGCAATCCTCTCACCTTGGCCTCCCGGGCATGGGATTATAGGTGTGAGCCACCATGCCCGGCCGGCACTTTAATTTTTTTGCAGGAAAAAATAATTGGTTATTAGCTCTGAGTCTCATGTGGAGAAATGTATATCCATATATTCTTACCTAGATTATGACCTTTATTAAATGGAAGAGTAATCATGAGAAAATTGGCACTGCTTCCTAGATATTCAATGTTAGGTGCTAAATGTTTAGATACAAAAGTGTTAAAATCTAGTCACACTTGAGAAGTAGCAACATTGAGCTGACTTTCTAATATTTTACCCTGAAATCAGAACACATGCTATATGACAAAGCTCATGGCTCTTCTAGAAGGATTTATACTGGAGGGTCTCAAAGGCAGAAGGGAAAAAACATACAGAGAAGATGTGTGTAACCTTGTGCAAGTTGTTTAACATCTCAGAACCTCTGCTTCTTCACTGATTAAACTGGATAATATGACACACAGATGCTATCATAATAATAAGCTGCTGCTTATTATACAGCATCACATGCCAGTTGATGGGCTATATAAATAGCATCTCACTTAATCCTCACAAGTTCACCTGTAGATTTCCTTGTCATCACCACTCAATAGCTAAAGAAATAGAGATTTAAAAGAGTAAAGTAAGCCGGGCTCGGTGGCTCAGTCTGTAATCCTGCGCTTTGGGAGGCTGAGGTGAGTGGATTGCCCGAGTCCGTGGGTTTGAGACCCGCCTGGGCAACTTGGTGAGCCCTCATCTCTACAATAAATCAAAAAAATTAGCCGGGCTTGGTAGTGCGCGCCTGTAGTTCCAGCTATTTGGAAGGCTGAGGTGGAAGGATCGCCGGAGCCCAGCAGGTCGAGGCTGCGGTGGCTGGGAACGTGCCACTGCACTCCAGTCTGGGCGACAGAGTGAGACACTGACTCAAAAAAAAAAAAAAAAGAGTCAAGTAACTTGCTCAAGTTCACAGTTAGTAAATAGTAGAGCTGGAATTTGAACTCAAGTGTGTCTTATTCTAAGTCCTTGCTCTTCACTGCTACATATGAGGGGGGACCCCCCAAAACAGAATTATTTTTGGAGGGTGGGCCCCTTGTAGTACACTCAAAATTTTTTCCTCCAGATCAAATGGTAAACCAAAGGTTTTATATGGAAGTTTTGAGAAAGTTGTATCAGGATTTGCAGAAGAAACATCCCGAGTCATGGCAAACAGGTGACTGGTTCTTCTATCATGACAACACACTTGCCCACACTGTGCGGAGTGTTCAGCAGTTCTGACCAAAAACGGCACGGTCCCTGTGCCCCCACCCTCCCTTTACACCTGATCGTGCCTCTGGCGACTTTTTGTTTGTTTGTTTTCCCGGCATCAAAACCGACAAGTTCAAAAACTGTTTCATGGAGTGGAAAAAGCATCTTGACAGGTGTACTGCATCAAATGGAGAGTACTTTGAAGGTGACTAAAGTAAACATGTAAGAATAAATATACAATTTTTTATGAACAAATTTTAGAGGGTGTTTTTGGTTCCCACCTCGTATATTCCAGAGAAACTCTTGCCAATATGGACCAGAAGACATATACAAGACTGTCCATAGTAGGCCAGGCACTGTGGTTCACACCTGTAATCCCAGGACTCTAGAGGCCGAGGCAGGAGGATGACTTGATGCCAAGAGTTTGAGACCAGCCTAGGCAATATAGCAAGACCTTGTCTATACAAAGAATAATAATAATTTTTTTAAAAACTAGGCAGGTGTGGTGGCATGTGCCTGTAGACCCAGCTATTTAGGAGGCTGAGGTAGAAAGATTGCCTGAGCCCAGGAGGTCGGGGCTGCTATGAGTTGTGATCATGTCACTGCACTCCTGCCTGGGTGACAGAGTAAGACCCTGACTCAAAAAACAAACAAATAAAAAATGAATATTCACGGCAACATCATTCATAAAAGCAGAATTCTAAGAACAAGTCAGATATCTGTTAACAGAAAAATGGGTAATTTGTGGTATAGTCCTACAACTGAATATTATACATATTTCACTACACGATAGCAGTGAACACAAAAGACAAAATGGATGCAGTGAGGGACAATGCTGCTTCATCAGGACCCACAGGAAGGAAACTGACGGGTGGCAGGGAGTTGGTGGGCATCATAGAGGACCATCTGTCTCAGTGCATTGTTGGTGTAGGGATCAGGGTAAGGCTGAGCTAGGCACAGTTTCCCTGTATCCGACATGTGGGAAAGGCAGAGTCCCTAGAAATCCGCATGTGGTTCCATATCCAAAGTTCCCAAAGTGCTTTTTTTAAAAAAAAAATTGGAATCTCACTGTCACCCAGGCTGGAGTGCAGTGGCATCCTCAGCCACCACAGCCTTGACCTGCTGGGCTCGGGTGATCCTTCCGCCTTAGCCTTCCAAGTAACTGGAACTACAGGTGCATAACACCACACCCAGTTAAGTTTTTTATTTTATGTTAGAGACAAGGTCTCACCAAGTTGTCCAGGTCGGTCTTGAACACCTGGGCTCAGGCAATCCTCTCACCTATGCCTTCCAAAGTGCTGAAAGTACAGGTGTGAGCCATTATGACTAGCCCCCAAAGTGCTTTTGACTACTGAAGAAGGACTCTAAAATATAAACTGTAGCCAGCAAAACTGCAAATTATTTCACTGAAAAGAGAAAATTAAATTGAGTGATTCAGTTAAACTTGTGTTTGCTGAGTACAGTGTCAGAAGGAATCAGTGTGGCAGCACAGGAAACTCTCTCACAGGCCAGATTTTAGAAGGACACATAAGAGTGAAAAAGGGACAGGTAACCCAGGATAAAAGTCTGGCTAGAACCTGTGGATATAATGCAGCAAAGAGGCTGAATCTGCAAAACAACAAGAAACACTCTAAAGACAGCAAAATAGTGCCTTGAAAGCTGTTTATTTTGGATTGAGAACAAGGAAAGGATAGGCTCAGGGCGTGCGGCAGATGGTATAATGTTAGATGACGAGAAAAGGCAGAATTTTCAGCTCTCAGCTTTTCTGTTTTCTCTGTCAAGGAAAATGGTCCTCAATCTTGGAACATTAAACAAATCTCTAGAAGAAGAAATTGCATCTAGATAGATGAGGAAAATGAGAGATGCTGTGAACCTAGATTTCCAAACTCAGGTGAAAGATGGAAGATAGAACAGTGTCTTGGATGCGGCATTGCTTACTCAGAATTTGTTGGATGAATTGAATTAAGCCTCTGCTGTTGAAATAACTCACACACATGACTTCAGTCTTGGAAACCTCATGGAGAATTTCCAAACTGCAAGACTAGAGGTGAGCACATTTTTCACTTTTCAAAGGGGAAACATGAATTCTGATCCTTTGGACAATTCTAGAAATAATTATTAAAGACATTGTATTTAGAAAGAATTTAGATATCACTCTGAACCACTGGTGTTTACTGAGAACCTGTGAAAAACAAATGTCATTTTCTGCTCTGGGTGGAGTTACAAGGTTTGCAGTATCCATGAAAATAGCAGATGTGTTAGAGCTTGATTTCAGGAAATCATTTTATTATCAAAATGTTCTTTTTTTTTTTTTTTTTTTTTTGGAGTCTTACTCTGTGGCCCAGGCTGGAGTGCGGTGGCATGCTCATGGTTACCACAGCCTTGACCTGCTGGGCTCAGGTGATCCTTCTACTTCAGCCTTCCAAGTAGCTGGAACTGCAGGCATGTCTTGTCACTCCTGACTTTGTTTTTTTTTATTGTAAAGATGAGGTCTGACCAAGTTGACCAGGCTGGTCTTGAACCCCTGGGCTCTGGCAATTCACTCACTTCAGCCTCTCAAAGTGCTGGGATTAGGCTGGGCGTGGTGGTTCAACCTGTAATCCCAGCCCTTTGGGAGGCTGAGGTGAGTGGATTGCTTGAGTCCACGGGTTCGAGACCCGCCCGGGCAACTTGGCCAGACCTCATCTCTACAATAAATAAAAAATTAGCCAGGCGTGGTAGTGCGCACCTGTAGTTCCAGCTACTTGGAAGGCTGAGGTGGAAAGATTACCGGAGCCCAGCAGGTCGAGGCTGCGGTGACTGGGAGCGTGCCACTGCATTCCAGTCTGGGCAACAGAGTGAGACTCTAACTCAAAACAAAAAACAAACAAAAAAAAACCAA